CGTGACGCGCGAACGCTTTAACCACTAGGCTACCCGACCGCCCCTTCAGCAATAAAGAAGAACGATATGTGGAAGATATCATTACTGATGGTTTGAACACCTCCAGTGTGACTGCGAGGAGCAGGTTTGCCATTTTATGTGTTGTACTATCAGTGGCAGCACACATCAGACTGTCACACATTTGACCGTGATCTTCACACAGGCCTGGAATACAAAGTGGACCGTATCTTTAACATGGCTGGTATACCTGTCATCTTGTATTTGAAGTGTTCCGTGTGAAGCTGCACAGGGAAGAGGTTCCCTTGAGAAACCATGTCATCCGTTGAGGAATTTTACCTTGTTACATTAAAACTGCACATTGAACACACAGGTGCGACCTAGTCTTGTCCATGAGGTGAGGTGAAATTGGGTTTTACGTCGCGTCCAAGACTATGGCACTAATATAGTACGTACGTGTACGTGTGTGTGTGTGTGTGTGGCTGCTTGTACTCGTTTGGACTAATGCCGATTTTATAGTGCATGCCGCAGTTTAACATGAATACCCCACTCAGACCCAGTATCCTGATCCCGAGTCGCCTAGTCTTGTTTAAGCCCCTTAATGCCAAGCACCAGGCATGGTAAAACAAGTACCATCTTTTAACGTCTTTTGGTATGATGCGAACGGGGATCGAACCCCGGACCTCCCGCTCTCCGGGTGGACGTTCTACCACGAGACCATGGAGGCGGTCTTATTGTCAGTGAGCCCTCCTGCCGAGTGAGCCCTCCTGCCGAGTGAGGCTTTACCCTGGTCAAGACATCATCCATGTCCTGGGTATGACCTGGTCCTTGACATCGAATCCTCCTGCTGCTGAAACTCCCTTCAGGGTTGGCGTATTGGCACATAAATCGTATTGCAATATATCGCAACCAGTCCATCCAAATGCCTCAGATAATATTGATATAATTATATATTCATTCTTCTGTGACAGTATTGATAAAATATATCAATACGCAAGGGTTGTACTGCGATACGCGTGTTGCTGACGGCAATATAACCATATATCTGTTATATTGCAGGCCACGACTTCTCTGACTCTTGTCAAAGCATCTTCCTACTGTGTAAGGCTTTGCAACATACTCCCTGTGCACGGGTAGGCCTAGGCCTTGACAATACATCTTGCCTGTGCTCGGTTAGGCCAAGGCCTTGACAATACATCCTCCCTGTGCTCAGTTAGGCCTAGCCCTTGACAATACATCTTTCCTGTGCTCGGTTAGGCCTAGGCCTTGACAATACATCTACCCTGTGCTTGATAAGGCCGAGCCCTTGACAATACATCTTCCCTGTGCTCGGTTAGGCCCAGTCTTTGACAATACATCATTCCTGTGCTCAGTTAGGCCTAGGCCTTGACAATACATCCTCCCTGTGCTCAGTTAGGCCTAGCCCTTGACGATACATCTTTCCTGTGCTCGGTTAGGCCTAGGCCTTGACAATACATCTTCCCTGTGCTTGATAAGGCCGAGCCCTTGACAATACATCTTCCCTGTGCTCGGTTAGGCCTAGTCTTTGACAATACATCATTCCTGTGCTCAGTTAGGTCTAGCCCTTGACAATACATATTCCCTGTGCTCGGGTAGGCTTAGGCCTTGACAATACGAATTCCCTGTGCTGGGTTAGGCCTAGGCCTTGACAATGCATATTCTCTGTGCTTGGTTAGGCCTAGGCCTTGACAATACATGTTCCCTGTACTCGGTATATTACTGCCTTGACACTACATCTTCCCTGTGCCCGATAACGTCTTGTCCTTGGCAATACATCTTCCCTGTGCCCGATAACGTCTTGTCCTTGGCAATACATCTTCCCTGTGCTCAGTTAGGTCTTGTCCGTGACAATACATTATTCTGTTTCATTCCTGATCTTAATGCCATAACGGTTAAGGTCATGAAAGATTTAAACTAAATCAAGATGAAAGTGATGTATTGAACACGCCATTTAATTATGGGATATAAATATCGTGGCCTGGGTGGAAGTATATGATAGTTTAATATAGATCCCTGAATAATTATGTAAAGTACTTAGCCAGCAGGGAAATAAAGCTTCTCTCGCACGCAAACGAAGTTAAATAAGCTACTTTGCTTGAACATGAATATAAGTACAGACACTCCGACTGTAGCTGAAACAGTAAACGTGTACTTTATAACAAAGTGACCTTAACCTCAGACTTAAATGAACCAGGAAGCGCTTCCCAAATGAAAACGTTAATTGTTAATGGATACACTGTTAGCACTGAAAAAACATTATCACCCGCTTGATATTGCCACATAGTGAATCTTTCGGTGTTAATTGTTTCATTGCGTGTGATAAAGCCATTGAGAGCTTGACATGCTGCTCACGTGTCATATTTTATTCTGTGTGATCCTCCGCCACAGCTGTGACTCATGGATCGTTCACTGGCTGGCCACAGTAGTTGTACTCATGAAGAGTGTCAGAGGTACGCAGCTGTGACTCATGGATCGTTCACTGGCTGGCCACAGTAGTTGTACTCATGAAGAGTGTCAGAGGTACGCAGCTGTGACTCATGGATCGTTCACTGGATGGCCACAGTAGTTGTACTCATGAAGAGTGTCAGAGGTACGCAGCTGTGACTCATGGATCGTTCACTGGATGGCCACAGTAGTTGTACTCATGAAGAGTGTCAGAGGTACGCAGCTGTGACTCATGGATCGTTCACTGGATGGCCACAGTAGTTGTACTCATGAAGAGTGTCAGAGATACGCACCCGAGTTACAAACGAGAGCGTGACAAAATCTCAGATCTGTTTAAATTACTACCTTTACACACGGGTAGACGAACCGCACGGGACTTCGCACGTACTAAATGCAACTATCCGTGCGCAGGTTGGCATAACCAGTTGAGTAGTCGCACTTACGTACACTCCACTGTATGGTTGCAGTGGTAGGTAGAACTACGTTAGAGGTGCGTAGGTATGTTGTTCTTTATCTCTGTGTGCCCTGATAGGTGTACGTCCGTAAAACGATCTCACGAACGTCCTGCAGTAAATTGTTTGTGCGCGCGGATAGGTATAACCACGTCGGTAGTTCGCACGTACGCACACATTCAACTATTTGGGCGAGGGTATATGTGTACCTACGTAAGGATTGCGCACGTGCTTCTTCATTCAACAACCTAGGTTTGACTATGTCCTGAAGATCATCTATGTTGTCAAGGTTTAACTATGTTCTAAAGGTCATCTATGTTGTCAAGGTGTGACTGTTCTAAAGGTCATCTGTGTTGTCAAGGTGTGACTGTTCTAAAGGCCATCAATGTTGTCAAGGTTTGACTGTGTTCTAAAGGTCATCTGTGTTGTCAAGGTGTGACTGTTCTAAAGGCCATCTATGTTGTCAAGGTTTGACTGTGTTCTAAAGGTCATCTGTGTTGTCAAGGTGTGACTGTTCTAAAGGTCACCTATGTTGTCAAGGTTTGACTGTGTTCTAAAGGTCATCTATCTTGTTGAGGTTTGACTATGTTCTAAAGGTCATCTGTGTTGTCAAGGTGTGACTGTTCTAAAGGTCACCTATGTTGTCAAGGTTTGACTGTGTTCTAAAGGTCATCTATCTTGTCGAGGTTTGACTATGTTCTAAAGGTCATCTGTGTTGTCAAAGTTTGACTGTGTTGTAAAGGTCATCTATGTTGTCAAGGTTTGACTATGTTCTAAAGGTCATTTATCTTGTCGAGGTTTGACTATGTTCTAAAGGTCATCTGTGTTGTCAAGGTGTGACTGTTCTAAAGGTCACCTATGTTGTCAAGGTTTGACTGTGTTCTAAAGGTCATCTATCTTGTTGAGGTTTGACTATGTTCTAAAGGTCATCTGTGTTGTCAAGGTGTGACTGTTCTAAAGGTCACCTATGTTGTCAAGGTTTGACTGTGTTCTAAAGGTCATCTATCTTGTCGAGGTTTGACTATGTTCTAAAGGTCATCTGTGTTGTCAAAGTTTGACTGTGTTGTAAAGGTCATCTATCTTGTCGAGGTTTGACTATGTTCTAAAGGTCATTTATCTTGTCGAGGTTTGACTATGTTCTAAAGGCCATCTATGTTGTCCAGGTTTGACTATGTTCTCAAGGTCATCTATGTTGTCGAGGTTTGACTATGTTCTAAAGGTCATCTGTGTTGTCAAGGGGTAGACAAGACAAACCAATATCCCCGTGACATACGTTGATTAAAAGACATATATTATAAATTACTTCAATGGCACACGTATATGTGATTTCTTTCACATATAGACAAAAGTCGCATATCAATAAAAACATGGCCGACATTTCCATGATGTAAGAATTATATCATAGCCGAAACTAACTGCCAGTGTTTGACACTAATATGTATAATTATCAATAAACATCCCCATTGTTAATTATAAGCCTTCAGAAAAAATACACTCAATGAACAAACATATTAGAATTTATATTCGGATAAAATCGTTTCAAATTACAGACACTCGCATTTCTCTGGAAGCATGATCACCATCAGCAGTCGTCAACAACCAAATAGCAGTGTAAACATCTCTTTTTAAAATGGCAACTAAGCCAACAAAACGGCATGTTGGTCGTGGCAGTAAATATTGAACATACCTTTGCTTTAATATTTACCTGCCTCCATAATTACTTTGTATTCTTTGATAGAGAATCAATATTCCTGCATGGGGACTGTTCCTTCGGGATTGTTCCATTGCACCTGCATTATATCACACTCTGGGTTGCTCTATTGACAAAAGATAATGTAGATTACTTCTATGAGAACCGGTGGTGAGGGTCCAGTGGGAATGGTTGGTTGTGAAGCTAAATGCTTTGTGACTTGTTTTATCACGAGCTGTCAGTTTGAAGTTGTATTGCCCTTTCAAGTCTTTCTTAAAGTTACACAATAAATAATATTTCTTTAAGCCTCATACAGAAGAGTCAAGACGTTACAAGGTGGCGTGACAATGGCGTGGTATGTGAACGCCACGCCATTTATAATTCAACAGACACTATTTTGTGGTTCAAGAAAATAATTTATTAACGGTTTGCAGACGAGACAAGATGTCTGCTATCTATTCCACCCGGGAATAGGAACATAAGAGATAACGAAGTTGGTATTGAGCAAGAATACTAACTGAAGGCGGCAAGACAAAACGTGCACACTGACGTCACTCGCGATCTGACTCCGCGCGTGCTGAAGGCGGTCGTCAACGCCTAACTACAGCAAAATGCAAACCAGAAGTAGTTAAAATCACAGTGCACACGTGTAATGTCATATAGCAAAGACACGGATCTATAATGAATCTCCGGAGTAGTCTCCCCTGCCTGGAGACTAGAAGATGCAGTTATCTCCCCTTACTGAAGCCTGCTGGTGGTGTAGGTTGGGCAGGATGTTGCATGGCTCTCGTATACAGCTCTAGTATACGTGGGGAAAGTAGTGCAGAAAGACAAATGGGAAATGTACATTACTCTTAGCTGCATGACAGCAATATCAGGTGACAAGCATGACTGGAAGACACTCAACTGAAACAGAAGCTAACGAAAGGTAATGTAACAAACAAGGTGAACCCGCACCAAAGGAAATAAACAATTTTGGTCCAAGCTGAAACATGTTTGTCCTTGAATACAATCTACAAGAACAGAATCAGCAACAACGAAAAAACTAGCAGATAAACTCTGATATATATAAGTATATTACATACGACTGACGTCTTGATGTACAGTGGTAGGCGTGGGTGGAAACGGTGGGATCTACACTATGATTAGGGTGGGTGACAGTGAGGAAATGCTGATGTTGGTGGGTAGAATGCACCCTGTCAATACGAGGATGAGATGGAATGTGCCACACGCTGGATATGAGGTCTTCTTAAAAGTGATAAACTTCTAAACGTTAATGTGACAAAGACATACTAGCAGTCGATGAATCTATAATTGTAAAGAAGTCAACCAGATAACGTTATGATACAAACTGTAAAATACTACTTTGTAAACTGAGAGGAAACTAGTCAAAGTGAACTACCGTTGCACGAAAAAGCTGCCAGTTAAGCGCATGCTTGGTATGGTGGATGAACCAGCCTGTATACATCCCATACACGTGTACAACTCGGTGGTGAGTAGGCGTACGAATGGAAACCACTGAAAGATGCTGAGACTGATTTTGGCAGAAACTACTCTTCCCCGAAGCAATGACACTGATGTAGATGATTTAGAAGGTCGACATACGTCCCTGGAGAGAACCCATCATGAGTGTGGAGCTATTCTAAAAACATCTCTAATGACCGCAACATCATGCTGATGATGATGCAGAACGTGGTCATTTTTACATTTTTACAAAATTCAAGGATGGTCACGACAAACTCATCAAGGTGATAAAATGACCTTCGAAATCATACGCCTATCGAGGCTATCAACTCAGAAACGACCATTTAGAAAAGGTTGAAAGTTGAAAGACTTGTATAGACACACCCGGATACGTGGTGGTCATTGTAGAGAACAGTCTGGTACCTTAAAGGGAAACTAAAACAGTTGGTCACCTTAATGTAAACTCACAGGAGAGTCTGGTACCTTAACGACCGATCCAAAAGAATTTAAGGATACCCTAATGGCATGTTACAGAATGGAACATTGGCGATCAAGAAAGCATTCAATGAGACCTATATGCTTGCTGAGAGAACCGTTGGTATCTTACCGACCAAATAAAAAACATTTTAATTATCCCCTTACACACATCTCTCGGAACAGCCTGTTACCTTGGCGACCAATCTAAGAAGCATCCTGAAAAACTTAACGACCATTTCTGACATAAGACAGCGAGTTTCCGGAGTTGATGCAATTCCCTGTGCAATCGCCATTGTGAGAATATTGTCACTGAACAAGATGAAGAGAAGAGTAGGTGATGGGTTAGGGAGATGATTGGTCACCGTCATATGAGGAGGGAGGGTGTCAAGGTGTGTGTGTGTGTGTGTGTGTGTGTGTGTGTGTGTGTGTGTGTGTGTGTGTGTGTGTGTGTGTGTGTGTGTGTGTGTGTTGTGTGTTCTACACATAGAAGGATAGGGTGAAGACGAAATGTCATTAGATGTCTGATAATAAGTCTGATAAATACGCCGCTTTGAACAATATTGCAGTTATGAAACAGCATTGTGAGTGAGGAAAGTCAAAAAGGGCGCATGTCTTAGCCTTCTACCAAGGAATCCTGAAACGGATCCAGAAACGACAAAGGCGCGACACACTTCACATCACGGTGTTAGCCTTCTACCACAATCAAGGAATCCTGAAACGGATCCTGAAACTACAAAGGCGCGTTACTCTTTATATAGCGGTCTTAGCTTTTTGCCACAATAAGGGAAACCTGAAACACCCTGAAGCGACAAAGGCGCGTAACTCTTTACATAACGGCACCTTAGACAAATTGACCACCATGCCCCTAACATAAGGAAGGAAGGAAGAATGACTACCAGCGGAGGAAAGGATGAGGGGTGGTAGTGGTGAGGGCCTTGAGGGGGGTTCGTGTGAATGGGGATGGGGGTGGGTGGGTTGGAGGAATGTGAAAAGGGTGAACAGGGAGGAAGGAGGAAGTAGATACAGTCACTGGAAGGACTAATTATTCCGCTATAGTTTTTGCTGTTTCTCTGAACCATTAAACCGGGTAAGATGTAAGGTAAAGTCTCGATAAGAATAAGTATGACATCCGCTGGATGATAGAAACCTCCCATATGAACAGAATGCTGGATTGTGGGGTACACGCTGCAGACGAAGCACCATACACAGCAATACACGCTGACACACCAAACACCCCGTTAAGGTTAAAAGAGATATATGTATCAGTTTAAAAGGGAGAGCACGCTACCCTCCACAAATTATCGCTATAATTGTAAAGGTACATTATCTACAGTCAAATCATCGCTTATGCTACAACTCTCACCAGTGTGGGCTAAATATGTACCCGTGAGTGGTACAATATGATGGTACAAGCTGGAACTACATCATAATACAACAATCTTCTTAAGATGCAGAAGTCCTTCTCAGTGAATGCGTACTGATACATATGCACGTCTATTTTAGGAATGTGCGTATGCGCTCTAGAACGTGTAGAACGTGCTGGGCATGTATATACTATTAACAGGCAACTTTCTTCAACGTGACATTCGGGAATGCTCGGTCATCATCGCTATTCCGACTTTTTCTTCAGTCAACCACTTTCAACTACAGGAAATGTTTTGGGGAGTGTCCCACTTCTTTGATATAAACCTTTCAAAACAATGGTTTTCCAAAGCTTGCATATGAACAGAAGTGAAATAACGAAGTGTGAGCGAGAATCCCGATTATCTAATCTACATTTATCTCGGATATTAGGAATGCTACCGTCAAGGCAAGAGAAACAGTACATATATTTGCAATTGCATATCACAAACCTTTCTATTACGCCTACCAATACAAAATCATTCAGTACAAGATTGCCATGCCGTGGCATTATATAAAACAGGTCAATCCAGCATTTCACGTCAACAGAATGGTTGTGAAATACTTGAAGTGAAAACTCCAGCAACATGATAAGTGAAATCCATCAAACTTGCATAGCATAAAAAGTGGATCGCATAGAATATTATGGCTGGTATATACACATCTGGCTCTTGCCGCCAGAATTATCAAATTCACAGGCTCTGCGCCTGCGCTACAATTAGCCACGTCACACTGACGTCATACACAATATGCTAGCCGATAGATCAGTCGTGAGCCTCCATCTCAGGATTATTTGATGTTCACTAAGAATTCAGAACAGATATTTTATTATTGCCAATGTCATAGACTACGTTCGCTGAACAAGTTCGTTTTTTCCATCACAAGTGGCCAATTATATTGACCCTCTTCCGCACAGATGGCGCTGTATTTGGGTAATCACTTCCGGTAATCCTTGACTGATACGGAGTGCATATGTCTCACTTCCTTACAACTGTCACGGAGATGCCGAGCGGTGCACGAATGTCTTATTTATTCAAACTCGTGAACTCGCAACGTGGTTTGTAGTGGTAGCGGCGGCTTGACGTCTCACCAGCCATATTTCGAAACCTTGACCCGACATTGTTTCTGCACCACCATAATTGAAATTGAAGTGAAGCGAATTTACGACTGCCTGTATCTAGAGCTGAGTCTATTGTGTTAACTGATCCTAAAGAGTGGCGCTTACAAGATTGTCTCCCCTTGGTACGTGACCCCGTCATCAGAATGCGCGCGCACAGAGGGATCTCTTTTGAGGCTGTAGTCTGACAATGATTTCTGGAGTACTATGTCCGTCATGGAATTGGCGTCCGAAAACTTGGCAATTGGAACAAAGATTGGCGATGACTTGTCCTTCAGCTCATTGTCATGGATACCGACTGAACCATTCATGTATGGTTCCACCAAAGTGGAGGCAGCGGAGGGTTTTCTAACGATGGTGTGGGAGCTGTCATTTATCACCGTGAAGGAGTCGTCAGCGTCCTTGTGTGTGTCCCCGCGGGACTGAACATGTCTATAGAACAACGTGAAGTTATTGGAAATAACGGGAATAGTAAGCGCCACCAACAATACTCCACTCACAGAACAAGCCGTCCCTACGATGTAACCAATTGGCGTTTTGGGGTACACGTCACCATACCCAACTGTAGTCATAGTTATGATGGCCCACCAAAAGCCCACTGGTATTGTGTTGAAAGTATCACTAGGGCTTGTAGCGTCTTTTCTCTCTGCATAGTAAATCATTGTGGCGAAGACAAGCATTCCAATAAGAAGAAATATAAACAACATCAAAAGCTCCTGTAAACTGGCCTTCAAAGAATACACAAGCACTTTGAGAGCCTGGTAGTGTTTAACAAGGTGGAAGATACGAAACATCCTAATGATGCGCAGTATAAACATGATCTCAATCACGAGACGCTCGTTCAGGTAGCACGCCTGGAGCGCCGAGTGTTGGAATATCACCTGAACGTACAGCGGCACGAGGGCCAACAAGTCTATTATATTCATCATCGACCGAACAAACTTGAGCTTGTTGGGGGCAAATATGAACCTGAGTATGAGTTCCAATGTGAAGAAGACGGTGCAGATGACGTCCAGCACGTTGAGGGCTTCGTGGGAACTGAGAACGCTTGCGATACCTTCTTGTTGGCCGTCGCAGGGTTTGGAGACGTTGAGTCGAGGTCGGAGTGCCGGCAGTGTTTCCAGACAGAAGCCCGCTATAGATGTCACCACGAAGAGAAACGACGTCACGCCGTACACCTGTGGTAGAAGAAAAGACGTACATGAGAAACAGAGTTTGTTTATAACGGTTTAGTGTGTGTAAGAATTCCATTTGTGGGACTCAGATCTTGAGCGGAGTCTCGGATCTTCATCGTCAATACTGAACGGTTTGTATACACTACCTTCCGCCATCACCCGTAAATGCATACGGCCTCTTTGCAGTATAGTTGTTATTTATAACCAACGAATCAAGTCACGCCCTGGTTTCATTCGTGACTAACTCGTGTTATTCCGAGACAAGCCGAATGGGGACTCGTGCATATTTGCGACTAGGTTCCGCCTAAGCGCAAAGGGGCATAGCTAAAAGAATTGTCTACTCGTTGCGTAATGATTCAGGTATATTTCCCCCATATCGTGTATATTCCAGATGCTATTGAAAACAAATCGGAACTGGCAGTATTATGCAGTATGATGGAACACATTTAGCTTATCTTGGGTAGATACATGTATTTAAATGCAAGACATATGTAAAATCCAAACTTATTCCTGAGGGATTCTTTGACCGAAGTACTTAAAATCATACGCGCATTCTGATTGGTTTGTCGTGTTTTCATACACAATATTCATCGATAGGGGGACGAGTCGAGTGCGGGGGACACCAGAAATGGGCTTCACTCATTGCACACACATATTCTAATGAACTCACGCAAAGTAAAAGTCAATTAAGAATATGTTATTTTTCCCTATCTAGAACCTCGATGGATGTACACTATCAGTTATGGTGTCTGTAGTTGCCCTATACGGTGTCATATAAGGTTAGCAGAGAAATATTGGGCGAGGCGTGAGTATCATGGATGGACCTCTGTGTCAAAACCACAAGCATGGCGAGCCACTCCACCATGTCGCTTAAGATATTATGTTTGTGCCAAAGCTTGGCATCCACTGACAATGTGTTGGACAATCTCCTTAAATTAATTGCATATTCAACATTTCATATTTACATTTTGATGCAAAATCACACATTGACGGTTTCTAGTGGGAAGTGACTGGTCTTGAGCAACAAACAGAAAGCCTCCTGGTTCACTTCTCAGGCCAGCTGACTTCACCCAAGCGATGGATTCTGCAGGGTTGCTGACTTCCCAACACACTGCACATAAACTCTATGCAGTTGTCGTTTAGAGAGCCTCTCCTTGAAAAACTGAGTCTGGACCGATTTGATATGACACTTCGCTTGGTTGATACTCATTTCTGTGCTGTCCAGCCATCAACACAATCAACACTGACATTGAGAGTATGTCCCACATACTTGGCTCGTTTAGGAAAACTGTGGAATGCCTTGTTTTCATCATGAGTCTTGACATGCTTATTATTAATATTATTATGCGAGGTCCGCATATTTGCCATGTTTTTCCCCAATCTTGTCAATCACAATTGTGTCAAAGGGGACAAAAAATTCAATGATATAAATGATTTCATTGGATTTATCAAAAAGGACAAGATCAGGTTTGTTGGCCTGGATACGTCTGAGGGTGTGAATGGGCCTAATCCAAAGACTTTTGTATTTATCATTTTCCATGACGCCCTCTACATATTCCGGGGCGTACCATGGGTGGACCTCTGTGTCAAGACCAGAAGCATGGCGAAGACGGTAATAAAATGATCGAGCTACACCATTATGTCGATTAAGATACTTTGTGCCAAAGCTTGGCATCCACTGACAATGTGTTGGACAGTCTCATTAAATTCATTACTATTCTACAATTATTATTATAAATAATAATAATAATATAATTATTATCAATAATAATAATAGTAATAATAATATTATTATTATATAACAACCGAAACATATAACTATATTTTGCAGTGTCAGGTATTTTATGCTCCATGTAATCAATCAAGGAAGCAATTCAACCAACAAATCATACACAAGCTGAGTTTTTAAGGTATAATTTTCAGTCCTAACATGCCATTCTAATGTAACACCCAATATAAGGTAGTTACTACAAATGAAAAGTATAGATTATTTTTTAATGGGGTCTTTATGACAAAGAAGAGTTTCCGAAAACCGGTTTGCAAACATCAGAAAGCTATGATTATTTCGCCGAATTTGTGTGGTAAAGGTCAACGTGAAGCTATGGGCGAGATCGTTCAAGCTGTTGGTTAAGACGTTGCACAGACAGCGAACTTCTGATGAAGTGACATCAAAGTCAAGTCTGTCGATGGCGCCGCCGCGAGTCACAATCTCATCATCACTCCCTGGATTAGAGTCACTCCATAGAGGGAGCCACTGAAAGATGCGTGCGCAGCCAAGCTTGGATCAAAACCGCGTATCGAAATTCAAATTATGCGAGAAATAACATGTTTTCTGAGATGCTGAAGAAAACGGATGTTTAAGATAAATGGTTGCCCAACACGCTAGAGAAACTCCCATCGGCAACCAGCTATCGATTGCATGATTTCATATGATTCAGTCACTAGGCCGGGTTCCAGGAACGCGTGTCATGGAGACTGGAGCAATGGCTGCTGGGTGGCCTGCGTCAAGGTGGGAGATGGGGTACAAACAATGTGTGTGGCAAGGTGATAGGCTTATGGTGATGATGATGATGATGATGATGGTGATGGAAGACGATGGGTGGTGATAATGATAGAAGATGGTTGGTGGTGATGTAAAATATGGGGCGTGGTGAGGGTGGGACGATGGGGCGTGGTGATGATGTAGAAGAAGATTGGAGGTGATGATGAAAAAGATGGGGCGTGGTGATGTAAAAGATAAGGCGTGGTGATGATGTAGAAGATGGGACAAAGTGATGATGTAGAAGATGGGGCGTGATAATGTAGAAGATGGGGCGTGGTGATAATGTAGTAGATGGGACAAGGTGATGTAAAATATGGGGCGTGGTGAGGATGGGACGATGGGGCGTTGTGATGATGTAAAAGATGGGGCGCGGTGATGTAGAAGACAAGGGGGAGGTGATGTAGAAGATAGGACATGGTGATGATGTAGAAGATGGGACAAAGTGATGATGTAGAAGATGGGGCGTGATAATGTAGAAGATGGGGCGTGGTGATAATGTAGTAGATGGGACAAGGTGATGTAAAATATGGGGCGTGGTGAGGATGGGACGATGGGGCGTTGTGATGATGTAGAAGATGGGGCGCGGTGATGATGTAGAAGAAGGGACAAAGTGATGATGTAGAAGATGGGACAAAGTGATGATGTAGAAGATGGAGCGTGGTGATGATGTAGAAGATGGGGCGTGGTGATGTAGAAGATAGGGCGTGGTGATGTAGAAGATGGGGCGTGGTAATGTAGAAGATGGGGCGTGGGAATGTAGAAGATGGGGCGTGGTGATGATGTAGAATATGGGACAAGGTGATGAAGGACATGGAGCGTGGTGATGTAGAAGATGGGGCGTGGTGATAATGTAGAAGATGGGGCGTGGTGATAATTTAGAATATGGGGCGTGGTGAGGTAGAAGATGGGGCGTGGTGATGATGTAGAATATGGGGCGTGGTGATGTAGAATATGGGGCGTGGTAATGTAGAAGATGGGGCGTGGTGATGATGTAGAATATGGGGCGTAGTGATGTAGAATATGGGGCGTGGTGATGTAGAAGATGGGGCGAGGTGATGTAGAAGATGGGGCGTGGTGATGTAGAATATGGGGCGTGGTGATGTAGAATATGGGGCAAGGTGATGTAGAAGATGGGACAAGGTGATGTATAATATGGGGCGTGGTAATGTAGAAGATGGGGCGTGGTGATGATATAGAAGATGGGGCGAGGTGATGTAGAAGGTGGGGCGAGGTAATGTAGAAGATGGGACAAGGTGATGTAGAATATGGGGCGTGGTGATGATGTAGAATATGGGACAAGGTGATGAAGGACATGGAGCGTGGTGATGTAGAAGATGGGGCGTGGTAATGTAGAAGATGGGGCGTGGGAATGTAGACGATGGGGCGTGGTGATGATGTAGAATATGGGACAAGGTGATGAAGGACATGGAGCGTGGTGATGTAGAAGATGGGGCGTGGTGATAATGTAGAAGATGGGGCGTGGTGATAATTTAGAATATGGGGCGTGGTGAGGTAGAAGATGGGGCGTGGTGATGATGTAGAATATGGGGCGTGGTGATGTAGAATATGGGGCGTGGTAATGTAGAAGATGGGGCGTGGTGATGATGTAGAATATGGGGCGTAGTGATGTAGAATATGGGGCGTGGTGATGTAGAAGATGGGGCGAGGTGATGTAGAAGATGGGGCGTGGTGATGTAGAATATGGGGCGTGGTGATGTAGAATATGGGGCAAGGTGATGTAGAAGATGGGACAAGGTGATGTAGAATATGGGGCGTGGTAATGTAGAAGATGGGGCGTGGTGATGATATAGAAGATGGGGCGAGGTGATGTAGAAGGTGGGGCGAGGTAATGTAGAAGATGGGACAAGGTGATGTAGAATATGGGGCGTGGTGATGATGTAGAATATGGGACAAGGTGATGAAGGACATGGAGCGTGGTGATGTAGAAGATGGGGCGTGGTGATAATGTAGAAGATGGGGCGTGGTGATAATTTAGAATATGGGGCGTGGTGAGGTAGAAGATGGGGCGTGGTGATGATGTAGAATATGGGGCGTGGTGATGTAGAATATGGGGCGTGGTAATGTAGAAGATGGGGCGTGGTGATGATGTAGAATATGGGGCGTAGTGATGTAGAATATGGGGCGTGGTGATGTAGAAGATGGGGCGAGGTGATGTAGAAGATGGGGCGTGGTGATGTAGAATATGGGGCGTGGTGATGTAGAATATGGGGCGTGGTGATATAGAAGATAGGGCGTGGTGATAATATAGAATATGGGGCAAGGTGATGTAGAAGATGGGAAAAGGTGATGTAGAATATGGGGCGTGGTAATGTAGAAGATGGGGCGTGGTGATGATATAGAAGATGGGGCGAGGTGATGTAGAAGATGGGGCGAGGTAATGTAGAAGATGGGACAAGGTGATGTAGAAGATAGGGCGTGGTGATGTAGAAGATGGGGCGTG